AAAAAAAAAAAAAGGAAAATGACAGATTTTTGGGCGACCCAAGTCACACCATCTCTTTGCTTTTTTTTAATTATTTTTTTTAATCCTTTTGCCACCCAGCCGCTTCTCTTTGCTTTTTTATTTTTTTTTATTTTTTTTATCCTTTATGGATCGAAGAGAAAGAGAATTTGGACACTTGTCCTTCTCTATTGGGTATTATAAATTTTATATGAATAGATAAATGTAATTCAATTATTGATATTATTTAATATTAAAAAATAAAATAAAAAATATAAATATTCGTATTTTTCATTCTCTACAAATAGAGACCACTATTGACATGTTTTGAAACACAATTGAAATTATTATATTGAGTTGGGTTGTAGATAAAATAATACCAAAAAATGTATTGTAAATAATATTTAATAAATAAATAAATAAATAAAAATAAAATAAATATTATGTTGGATTGAGTTGGGTTGGGTTGAGTTGGGTTGTGGATAAAGATATTAGGTTGTTATAAGTTGGGTTGTGTAGGTGGAAGAGAGAGAAATAATTTTTTATTATTGGGTTGGGTTGAGTTGGGTTGTGGATAAATATAATCTGAATGCGAAAGCAGGGGAAGCGAGGCCGGTTATGGCCAGATGAGTACTGCGCGTCTGTTGCCAGGGTTCCGGCGAACAACCGACGGTGAATCGGAAGTGGACGGTGCTGTCCCAGCGCAGGCCGACGCACCGCCACGGCCGGGTGAGAAAATCGTCGGCGGAATACAGAGTCGATTGGCGCTGGTGGAAATAGCCCTTCAGGCGGTACTCGCCGCGAATTCGGGTTTCTCGGATCTCCAGCGGGACGTCGATTTGGACGAGCTGAGGCCGCCGTTTCGGTTTTTTGCAGGACGACGGTGGGATCCATGACTTTGTGACCCGGACCGATCCGGATAGGTGGGTCCGTATGAGGGTCCACCGTTGCGATTAGGGGTGTGCACGGTCCGGATTGGTCCGGTTTTAGCCCAAACCATGACCAAACCGGACCTAACGGTTAATTTTTTTCTTGTCCATAACCAGACCGGTTTTAGTTTTTAACCGGCCACAATCCGAACCGCATTGGACGGTCCGGTTTGGCGGTTAACCGGTTAAATCCAAAATCCTTGTTTTAGGCCTTCAATTTTTATTTTTTTCATTTTGGGCTTAATTTTCATTTTTCAATTTTGGGCCCAAAAGAGATTATTTGGGCCTAAAAATTAAGAAAAACAACAATAATGAAATAAAAAATATACAAATCGCCTCATAAGCATAAAAATACACATTTCGTCCCGTAAACATAAAAATATAAAAATGATGAAGATTAAATTATGCAAAAAGGCCAAAATGTGATAGTGAATGTATTGTATTTGTTGGGCATAGTGAATGACTGAATGTATATATATATTTGTTATAGTTTTTTAACATTTACCGGTCCGGTCCGGTTAAACCGGCGGTTTGCCGCATGTAATCCGTTAACCGGACCGGTTATTCTGGATTTTTAAAAAAATTAACCACCAAATTTTTTAAGGTTTTTTTTAACCGCCCATTTAACCGATCTGCGGTCCGAATTGACGGTGTTTTCCGATTAAAATCGGACCGTGAACACCCCTAGTTGCGATTCGCTCCGATTGGTTATGAAGCATGAGGCTTCGGGCTTCACGGCTCGCGCGGGCCGCCGTAACTTTTTTAGGGGAGATCTTTTTTCTTTCATCTTCTTCTTATCGCCCATGATTTTTTTTTTTTTAATACGAAGAAAATCAGATCAGAAATGAACTCAAAATAACAGAGTATTAAATAAAAAAAAAACCCCAACAATATACGACGATCTCGAGAGAATATCAGCCGGAGAAAACCCTAATGTGAAAATTGAAATATTAATCCCCCAACTTGTATGATTTTTCATTTTTGTCCAAATAAATTTTATGGTTCGAAATTGGCCAATAAACTCTTAATTTTTTTAATTAATTAGGTTCAATCTTAATTTTTTTTTTGGTAGCCAGCCACGGTATCCAGAGCTATACCCCGACTAATCCGTTGGTCGACCCGGGTCGCACACCTAGCAGTAGTGGTGAGTCTCCCAACAAGGATTTTCTTCCAGAGCTATGCCCCGACTAATCCGTTGGTCGACCCGGGTCGCACACCTAGCAGTAGTGGGTGAGTTTCCTAACAAGGGTTTTCTGCATCCACAAAGACTCGAACTCGAGACTTTGTTTAAGCTACATCAAGCTGCTTACCACTTGAGCCAACCCCTATTGGTGGTGCAATCGTAAATTTTTAACCGTATGATTATATGCACACTAGAAAAAGTGGAGTTTTAGTTATATATAATGAGATAGATTAACATTCAAGTTTCCGACAAATAAACAATGAGTAGTTTTTATCACTGAATTTCTCCTCATAACTTCATTTGTTTTCAAGATTCACAAAAATTATCAAGGCACCAAAAATTTGTCGATATCTTGAAAATTGAAGGCCGAAACTCACCGATTCATGCTCCAAAACATACCGTATGCAAAAGCCCAACCCAAGGCAATCAAAAGCATGTACACAAAATAGAGAGAGAGAGAAGAATACCGAATCCCTTTATTGCGAGGAGGAAGAAGAAAATGGGGTATTCATTATTTATATGGATGTTTTTGTAAATACATGGACATTGAGGGGTATTTTAGTCCTTCCACAATCACATTTTTCGACAAAAATGATAAATTTCCAGATGGGATAGAAAAATCTCAGGGTAAGGCCGGGATGGATTCATCCAAGAATCGATGATATGCATGTGGGTTTTGCATGCCACATTGACGCCACATGGGATCAATCTCATCCCAATTCTTCAAAGTAAACGCGTGTATAGGTGGGGATAATTTACATTATCACATTCCATCTTGCTAAGTAAACGATAGCTTGGTAGATTAGTTTTTGATATTTCATGTTAAAAATTGAATAAAAAAAAAAAGAAGAAGAAGAATGAGCAAAACAAATTCTTCTTTAACGTTATTAGACAATTTAGTTGAGTTTGAGCACCATGAGTTTGACTCTCGAGCGTATAGTTTGTACGTTCGAGTGTTCGACTAGCCACTCGAGTATAATACATCCAACTAACTAAACAAAAGTTTTTCTGTGACACGATTTAACTGTTAGTGGATCGATCAGCTATATGTTTTCAATAAAACAACTACTTTTAATTTGTCTATATTACTTATTTTACAGTATGAAATTTCATTTGCCTAACATTAACCTTACTTAACTGAATACCCACTCGATCAAAATTTGAGTAGAAGTTGTGCAACATTCTTTTTTGAGTGCACATTTTTTATTGAAATTTCAACCTAATTTGCTACGATCTTAATTTTTGGGCTAATCAAACACAATTCAATTCGAGCACTGAATTTAATTAATTGTGCCCTAAGCTAAATATTCCTATATATTTCTGGCAGAAAATGTTGTTTACTAATTCGAGAAACTATTTAAATATTTAATGCTATGTTTTAAAGATACAATTTAGATAATTGCAGTGGATTAATTAAGATATTAATAAATCACATAAAATTTCTTTTGTATCTCAAGATATTCATATCATATATTTGTACATATGTATCATATATTTGTACCTAAAAATCGAGATTTATCACATTTCTAACAAACATTAGATTTACTTATATATTTTTAAATTAATCACATTAATAAATAATATTAATATACATTATATATTTATCATTTCATAAAATAGAAATATTACTTCTACAAATGTTATAAATAATATTGACATTATACAACAATAAATTTTTGAATAAAATTATATATTTGAGTGTTATGATGAACCAAAATATGTAAATTATTAATTTTTTTATTAAAAAATAAATATATATGTTAAAATATTATTTATATTAATATAAACGGATCAACGGACTAATACATTATTAAAATAAAGATTTGCAAAAATATTTTACACAACGAGAATTAATATAGAACGCATATAAAAGAATACAAAGATTAAAATCCAAATTAAAAAAAAAAAAAAGAAAAAGAAAAAAAAAATATTAATGATGTAATTCGGGTGGTAAATTTAAGCGATTTTGATATAAGTCGCATTTATGGGGTTGTCTGAAGATTTTTTCCACAACTTCAAAATCGCGTCTTTGTATTGTGAGAGGGTGAGGCCCGGTTTCTCTTCCTTCAGCCTTTTTATATGTGTGTCTTCAAAAACCTATAGGCACATATTTTTTCATTAAATTAATTAACAATGTTAAAATAATCATGAATTGGTATGAATTATGGGAGAGATGCTAAAGTCCCGTTACGTTTACAAATCGTGAATAAATGGTTCCACAACGAGAGCATTTCCCTGATTTATGTAAGTTTAAAAAAAAAAAAAAATCAATAATAATACCTGCATGTATTTGTACCTTAAACAAGGCCTTAATCCTCCTCTCCGGATGCCTATCCATCGGCAACCGACCGCGGCCGTCCTCCTCCATCGTCAGCTGCCCGATAGCCTCCTCCACCGTCCTTGCATCCACGTCAAGCCCAGCCCGATTCGTGTTGGGCCCACAAACCATACTCCGGTATTCCCTCTCGTCGGCACTGCGGCTGGCCTCCTTCCTCCTCTTCTCCTCCACCCGCCTCCTCAACTCCGCCACCTCCTCCTCTTTGCGCAACTCCATCTCCGCCCTCGTCACCGCCTTCTTCTTCCGCCGGCCGTACGCCTCCGCCGCCGCCTCCACCTCGGCCAGGCGGCGGGCCTCGGCTTTCTTGGCGGCGGACTCGGCCCGGCTGTCTTCTTTCTCCTCGCGCCTCTTTTGGGCACGGGATTTGGGCTCCGCGCCATCGGTGACTTTCCCGTTAACGCCGGTTTTGTTTGCCATTGTTTTGCTTTTTTTTTAGAGGGGTTTTGTGACGAAAATATTTGCGAGTGAAGGGATTAAAGGGATTGAATTTATGGATTATTTAGAAAGAGAATAGGGTTTTAGAAGGGTTTGGATAATCCCGATATTGTTTAGGAAAAACATTGCGTGATTGTTACTCTTTCAAAGTTTACATATGAAAATTTAAATAAAATATAAGTTGTTGTAACTAAATCTCTTGAGCTTCTTGATATGATAAGGCAATTTTTGTTCGCTTTAGTTATGGACTTTTAGATATAATAAGAATTTATTTTAGAGATCATTTAATATATGTTTAGTGGTTAATAATCATTGATGGCTTTACCAACTTCTTGAAACTTAATTTTTTAAAATAAAGAACACACACTTTTAAAGTATACTAGTACAGAGCCCGAGCGATAGACGTGTCCATTTGCCACCCAGCCCGGCCCGTCGGGTCGGCGGTTCACCGTGTAGTGAACTGGGCCCGACCCGCTTGTAACTAAGGGCCGGTTCACTGAACCGGCCCTTAACCGCCGGGTCGCAAACCCGGCGGGTCGAGTCGGTTCCGGGCCGGGCCCCACATATTCTTCTTCTTCCTCGTTGGCTCAAAAACCCGGAACCCGGACCGGACGGGCCGGGTTTTTTTTTTTTAACCGAAGAGGCCCGGGACCGGCCCTCTAGATGTCCGGTTCCAGTACGAAAACCGGCTTTTCCGGTCCGGGCCCGGTTCGGCCCGAGCCGAGTTCGGGCCGGGGCCGGGTCGGTTCGGCGGGCCGGTTCGACCCGTGGCCATGTCTACCGTGCGATGCACGGGGTGCACAATTTTAAGGCCATATATCCAGCCTTATAATTATATAAATGAATAAAAAAGATGTACGGGATATATATAGTACGTGACCTGTGCGAGACACATGATATATTCATTTGAGGAGTATTATAATTTAATATGCAATATTCAATAAAAATTGTACAATACACAGGAAAATTGTACAATAAAATAGTATTGAAAAAAGAATCAAACATATATTATTAAGGACCTCCTTGTATACAACATTATGAGTTTGATTATCGAATAACTCTTCATTCTTACAAACTAATATCTTCAACCCCCTTCTATCAGTCACACGCGAAACAACAACATATAATTGACCATGACTAAAGACAGACTTCTTTAGAAAAAGACCAACGTGGGATAAAGACTGTCCCTGACTCTTGTTTATGATCATGGCATACGAAACCATAAGTGGGAACTGCCGCCGCTGAAACTTAAATGGAACCCTAAGATCAAAAGGAGTAATATTCATTTTAGGAATCAACACTGTGTCGCCAGCATGATCACCAGTCAATATCTTGCATTTAAGACAAAAAAATAATAGGCTTGGATAATCCATATTTCACATCTTTTAATAAGTGACGTTTATTTAAGCAAAAAAATTAACATATTAATTAATATATAATTTTGCTAACACGTCATACTAATATTTATTTGATTTTAGAATACATATTTATTCATTGATATAAGAATAAAATTTTATTAATTATTGTTCACCATATAATACTCAATTTTTTTTTTATTATAAAATTTACAGTCATATAATGTAATTATTACTATTTATAAAAGTTATAAAAGTAGTTTTCTTTATGTAATGAAATTCAAAATAAAATTTTGAGTATAAATGTTTACAAAATACACATACATGTTTTTTAGAATTCAATTTTCTCATAATAATTCTTTTTTTCATCCTAAGGCTTTATAGTTTATTTAACATACTATGCAATAGAAAAATTTTTACAATATGTTCATTTTTTAAACATAACAAAAAAAGTGATAAAAACACTATCATAGTTGACAATAATATACAAATAAATAACATGTCAAAATTTTAAAGAATAACTAATATAATTTTATTATCTAACCATCAATAAAATCATTTACTGATGTGATCATTATTTTTTAAATAATAAATAATATCAATTTTTTTAAAAAATATTAGTGTTATATAATTAAATAAAGGTTAAAAAATATTACTCGACAAATATTAATTATAATGGATATCAGTAAAATCATTGCATAAATTATTTAAGAAAAAAATCTTTAAAATCATATTTGGATAAGGCAATTTTAATGCATATAGTAAAAAAATTCCAAATAAAGTATGCATTAAATGTGTGTTGACTTTTATTGCTACTGTTTTGGTAAATAAATTGGCTTTTAATATATATATAGATAGAATATATAAAAGTAGGGCTCTAGCTTTTATCGTGTTGAGCCATAGCAGAGCCCTAATTTAAACGAGTTGATAAACGAGTTCAAACTCGACTCGTTAGTAGCAAGTCGAATTATAGTCTTAAAGAGTCGAGTTATAGAAAAACATATGCATATTTTTTCTTCATGAATAAACCGTAACAAGTTGAACTATAAAAAATTATATATTTTACATGGTATAAAAATTATTTAATTTTCTTTAACAACCCCAAAAGGATATATAGGCTTCGGCCCATGTTAGTTAATCTATCTAAAAATGATTTAACCTAAATATTAGACCTAACCCGGTGGATAGGATATATAGGCTTCGGCCCATGTTAATACATCTAACTCGAAAAATGTTATAGGTACGTGTACATAACATTCACATTAATTGGCTCCTACCAAAAATATTAAAAAAATTAAGTAGACCTCACTCCATGTGATTGTTATATATACCTCTATATATGTACATTTATTATGTATTTGTAACATTTTTCTTTTGATACCTAACCTCAAAGTATTTTTTTTTTGGTACAATAAAGGAGGTCAAAGCCTGAAAACAGCTAAACCACTATCCGACGCTGATAAGAAATCCCAGCGAGATCATGTTGTAACCAAAAGCCCGTCCCGGGCGGGGGACGATCAAACCTTTGCAAACCCCCAGGGCCTGCCGCCGCCAAAGACGCGAGGAAATCCGCAACAAAGTTCGTTTCACGGTAGCCATGATGAAGCTCCACCGTCCATGCACGACCCAGAAGGTAATTTTCAATTCTTTTTGGGGTTAGTCTATGCCAACACAGATGTACATTTTGTAGCTTAAAACTAAAATTTTAGTTGACTATGTAAAACGAACAACATTAAGATGAATTAATAAAATATTCAGTTCGTGTAGAAAGAGATAAGGATAACTTAAAAAATAAAAAATAAAAAAAAAAATACACACACGTATAAAAAAAAAAAGATCATAAAATGGGTATATGAAATTAAGTTTTTATTTATCAAAATTAAAAGTTTCTATGTTCAAGGAGCCCTAAACTTGTTTCAATCCACACATATATAGGTTTGGTTTCCTTGATTGTTGTTTTATAGATTGTATAATTAATTGATTGATAAGTAATAGATGGAAATCTACAAGTTTGGCCTAAGTGTTGTTTTTACTGTGTTGATGCTACCTAAAAATAAGTGGGTCTTGTCATAAAAAATAAAGAGAGTTGTCAATATCATCACACAATATTGTCACTTTTGTTTTCTCTCTTTGTTTTTTTTTTTTTTTTGTG